CRTCTATGTCAACATCAAGTGGGGGAAATCCAAGAATCCTAATGAAACATTCCAGCTARCACACACAGCTGGAGTAAGAATATATCCTAAACCAGAACATATCCTAAACCAGAATATATCCTATCCCATGCTGTAATGGGATAYAAGCATAATAAAATGCTTCCCATATGCATATGTATAATTTTCTCTAATCCCTGATTAGTTAAATGAGATTTTAAACATGTTAGACTTCACATTAAAAAAAAAAAAAGCCAACAAAATGGGTATTGACTCTGTATCTCACTAACAACTTACTGAACTTTTACACTTTTCTACAATTCTCAAGTAAAAATAAACAAACCCTCAAGCAGAGTTAAGATCTAGAAGTATCTATCTGGAAATACAAAGGAGATTTTAAAAAKAAAACCTCTATTTCCTACATACTTTTTCCTTCTCTTTTTCCTTTTTGAAAGGAACAGGTAAACTTTTCAGCTTGTCAAAGGAAGTGTTGTCTGACCAGAGAGATAAATTTGTAAACTTCAGGAAACATTTCAGTTCCTCTGTGGTGTTTTCACTCCTGCAAATTGCATCAAAACTACTGTACTGATTTGGTTTTAAACTGTATCTGCTTAAGTTATGCATTAATATTTAATATTTTAATACTAATCATTCTCATTTGTCAAAAAAAAATTAACAAAATATCCAGACAGGACTCAGTACTTCCAAATAGAACACTGGTAACATATCGTGAACCATTAATTGCAAATCTGTTCATTTCATGGCATACAAATCGAGGCTTTTGGATAACAAGTAATTTCATGCATATCTGCAACAGAGGTTCCAAAGTCTTCACTAGCACACACGTCCATATGAATGTGGGATTTTAAAAGGGAAAAAAATATTTTTAAAAGTTTCTTAAAAACTTGAAAGTAAAACATAATTTTTCTTACAATTTTATCTACATGCTGTAAAGGGAATGGCACACACTGYAATGTCTTTGTTAATTTTGTTTGCTCATTTTTCTGTAATTATGTAAATTATTAAAGCAGGAGCTGGAGAACTGAAAAGCAGAGTTCACCAGGACTAGTAAAATACAGGCAGCAGCACAGCTTTCTCTACAGTACTCTAATTAAGAGATATCCTCTAGCAGTAAAACATTAGCTTCATTCAGAGTGAGGTTCAGTCTCTCCACACTTAGTCCTTGGTCTCTTCATTGCTACAGAAAAATATCTGAGTTCTGTAYTCAGAAAAAGTGCCTATATGTGGTGGATTGCACTTCTGTAAAAATAAATATGTGAATAAAAATGAGCCAACTTCTTTGAACTGATGAATAACTCAAGGTCATTAGTAATCTACCTGATATTTTACTACCAGAATCAAAAAGCTTTATTACCTACTTTGAGCCACCCAATTTACATCAAGTGCAATCATTGTGRAAATAATGGCTATATGAATTTCAGAACTGACATTTGACATTATTTCTTATTTTAGGGTTTTTTTGTAAGAAGGGAAAAACAAATGCAGGCKCCTCTCAGAGGTATGAATAAAAAGACCAGCTTTGCATAACCTGACAAGAAGTAATGATACCTGGAAACTGAAAAAAGCAACAGCTTTCTTTTACACTTCACTAATAGATGTGACTTGTTATGAACTCTGCAAGTTCTAGTTGCCTTCAAAGATTAATTGTCTGGTGATACATAACAGCAGATAAAACCTGAAAGGAGCCAAGGGATAAAAACTCTTTCTGGGTTACACATATGTAGAAACAAATGTTTTTGGATTTATAWAWATGTAAAAACATTAATGTGTGCACACTTAGCACAGGATACAGTTGAGCCATTACCTGGTGTGACCTCTGTCTTGAAAGCTCTCCCATGTTTCACACAAGGAGCTGCACAGGTCAGATGCCATTATCTGTAATTTTAGGTATGACAGCAATTACCCAATTCATTGTGTTCTGGCAACCACAGAAAAAAAAGCTACATCACAGCATGCTGAAATCTTGCACAGTAACTTGTTCATACTGGATGTCACAGACAACCATTGAACATTGTATGAATATGCACTCAACCTCCACCATTAATTGAGCCTTCTGTTCCAAGCAGTTCTGCCACACACTGCAGTGGTCACYGCTCCTATGCAATTCCATGGCCTTGCTTACCTACAGGGCTTTTCAGAGCACTAAAAATTAGCCCTTGGCATGGTCATAATATGTTTTTGAACTTCACTCCATGAAGATGAATGAGTAAGTTCACTTCCTGGTCAATAGTATTGTTTGTGTCTGCCTTGCTACAGATACTCTAAGACACCACACATTGATTTACTGGGTGAAGAATGGCAGCCTAAGAGCCTCAAAACTAYATAAAAAATATGTATTTCTTTCTGTTTGACAAGAACAAAAAAGATTAATCCAAACATAGTTATAATAACAATTTGTATGACCAGAGCATCTTATTTTTCTGCAAATTCCTCTCTAATAACAGGAAACAAACCATTAAGAATGATGTGGAAGGGCTATCTGTTTACCAATCCAAATTAATAAACCTATTTCCCTTTAATCCTTTTCCAAACGATCAAGAGACCCAAACAAAACATTCTTTTGCAATTTACTCTTAATTCTTGTATGTTTCTAAACACAAAATAGAATGCCCAAATATATTAGATAGTAAAGTTAATGTATCATTATTATAATCAYTAGTGAAAGCCCAAGAGCAATTATTGCAAACATGCTTTCAAGATGTGCAGGCTGAAAATATCACTCCAAGGAAAATCTAAAGAAATTATATTCCCTCAAAAGATTTTAAAAATTCTTTGCATCTGGGATTCCAAGTGTTACCAAYCAGCATTTTAACCTTGCACATTTGAGTGTTTACACAATGGGCAGCTTCTTTATTGTAGTAATTTTCTTTCCTTCAATTCCTGGATTTAGAGAAAGTTATTGTTAATCTTTTTRCTAGCATTTTATTATCCAGGTAGGGTTGTACTTATTAAAGCACCTGTATTAATTCAGTCGATTTTCAGTTCACCTGTGTTTTGTTGAATTACATTTATTATTTGATTTCTATGATGGTATGGCAGTGTCAAAGGCAAGAGGCTGCTTGTTCTCCTGGAAGTTTGGAAGCAATGTGCAGAAAGAGAAGTCACACAGAAATAAGAAAATTCACCAGTACTCTATGCAGCCAACACCACAACACCTGGACTTGCCGGGAAAAATTACATCAACATCAAGAAAACACTTCATCCCYGACAGACTTTTGGTAATTATTTTCCCCATCCTTCACTCGCCTTTTMAAACACTATTTAAACACTACTAATTTAATCCTAGAATATCAAATACTAGTTTAGGAACCCAAGTTGCATTACTTAATAAAAATTCTTGTCTTTGATGCATATATTCTGCCTTAGCTTATTCTGCCTTAGTTCTACAACACCAAGAATATATTTTTTTAAAACTCACATTCATGTGTTGTGTTAGGCCTTGTGGTAACGTAGCAGACATTAGCATGCACTAATGCCTGTAACATCAAAGGAAAACTGTATKGTGCCACTGTGAGAGTCTGATGTCTTCTAAGACACAAAAAAGAGCAAAAACAGCCCTGAAATGATTGTGTGCTCTACAATTATAAACTGGAATTATTCATCATATTTAGCATGGGAGAGGGTAAAGGAATAATACTAACTTAGAATGTCCTTGCCGTAACTCAGCCTTATGGCACGGGGGGTTTGTGGTTATGCTTTAGTCTTCCCTGTTTTCTAGAGATCTTAATCTCTGATTTTCCTGTTACTGAGATGGATACAATTAACAATGAAAAGACACTGCAGAACAAAAATGTTAAAATACACAAACTATATCTTTGATAGTACTSCACGACTAAATCCAGTTTTCTTTCATCATTACTTTCCACCATTGCCAATTTTAATGCTCCTTTCAACACAGCAGGTAAAATAATTTCTGTCAGTAGTAACATCTAGAGCTACCCTTCAGTTCCTGTATTTTCAGCCACATCACACTAAACCCTAAAAAAAGCCAAATTGTACAAAAATAGTGTTCAAGGTACTCAAGACTCTCATACTTTAGAAATAGATACATCCTCTGCAACTTAAATAGAGAGACGTACATAAAAMAAACAGTTGGGGAAATTCTCTGCTCTATCCAGATGTTTGATAACATGTAACATCATGTTTCATAGTCAGGTCTAGGCTTTTTTTTCTCTTTCTTCTAACAAAACATTGTATCGTCTGGGCGTGCTATGCATTGTTATTAACAGGATGAATCCTTTCTTAATGCAAAGGTAATTTTTTAAACGCACAGTTTACAAGCCGAAGAATTAAAATACCATCTTCAGTGAGATCTGATGAGCATGCATCTCTTACAAAGGTTTCAAATGGGGTTTTTTCCAGACAATCAGGCCGGTAGTATGCGAAAATTAGATGTTAAGGACAGTCAGGCACCTTTGAACAGTTTGCTCAACAGCAGCAATTCCCCTTAAGGCGCGATGAGCCGCTCAAACACATTCTGAAGGGATGGGCAGGACTGAAGTAAACCGTAAACCCATATTTCAAGMGAAATGATGCTACCACTCCACCTCGCAGGGTGGTAACTTTTGGTTCCATGCTTCAGTCCCAAACTCAGGCGGCTGTGGGTGCCTGGGGTGCCAGTGGAGAGCTCCCGGCAGCCGCGAAGTTATCGCCGGCGGGGGAGCCCATCTCGCCCTGCCGGGGCGGGGCGGGMAGCAGAGCTCCGCTGCTCCTCCGTCCCCAAACACCCAACTTTTGGGAGGCAGGCGGCAGGAAGGGGTGGCCGCCGGGCGGCGCCCGGTCCCGCATCCCTGTGGCCCCGCATCCCTATGCCCCCGCCGCATCCCTGTGTCTCCACATCCCTGCGGCCCCGTCTGCAGCCGGGAGAGGCCGAGCCGGAGGCAGAAGTGCGGACCCCTCCCTCCATCCCTTCACACACGGCGCCCGCCAGAAAGTTGCAGGGGGGCCCGCACCGCAGCGCGCCCGCGGCCGCCCTCACTCACCATGGTTGTTGGCGACGTGCCCGGCGGCGGCGGGACGCGCTGTCAGCAGGGGGAGGAAGAGGCCGACTCTCCAGAGCAATCCCCTCACCTCACTACACCCCATGGCTGGTGCCCGCCGAGCGCCCCGAGCCCTCGGCCCGCCGAGGATGCCCGTCCTCCTTCAGGCCGGGGTGGATCGCCGCCGCCCCGCCGGGCTGCGCTCCCTGCTCTGCCGCCGTGGGCTGCGCGGGCCGGGCCGGGCGCATCCACCGCCGAGGTCCCGGGGCACGGCAGCAGCTCGGAGGGCGAGGGCGGGCGGGGGCGCCGAGACCCCCGCTGCCGCCCTGCCGTGAGGGGCGGCGGCGCTGGGAACGGRGAGAGCTCCGGCAACTTCGAGGCTGTGGCGGCGGGAAGGGGGTCGCGCCCCTCTCCCTCCGCCGGCTCCTGCCAGTGGCTCCTTCAGCCCCGCAAGAGCACCCCTCTCAGGCTCAGCAACCTCCTGCGCGGGAGCAGCCTCCTCCCGCGGCCGCGCCGCACGGTGCCCCGCATTCCCGGCCGGGGCTGGGAATTTCTTCAGGTTCCCACGGTGGAGCGCGTCGCGCCCGCCGCCGTGCGCCCGGGGCAGGAGGGCAAGAAGGGCCGGCGATTCCTCACGCTCCCCGATGCATCAAGGAAACTTGCAGAGCGGCATCCCCGACCCTCCGCCGCCGTGCCAGGCTCTGYCGCTCGCCCCTCTCAGTCAGTCTCTGTCTCTCCCCCTCTGCCGCGGAGCAATCAGAAACCAGGCGGCTCTGGTGTGATGTTCGCTGCTCCCTCCTGATTTGCGTGCCGCGCTGCCGGCTGCAGTTTTTTGGTGCCGCCGCTCCCCTGCCGCCCGCGGAGCGCTCGCCCCCTCCTCCGGCGCGGCCGCGGGGCCGCCCC